CAGGGGAGATGGAACCATGAGTTGGTTTCTCAGTTGTTTGATCCCAGGGATGCTGAATTAAAATTACAAATCCCTGTGAGTATTAATTTCAAGGATGGCTAGTTTTGGAAAGGGGATATCAGGGGACAATATACGGTTAAAGATGGCTATAGATGCCAAGGGGAGTTGAGCACCACCCCAGACGCAGTATGGAACAACATTTGGAAGCTTAGGGTCCCTCCCAAGTGGAGGATTTTTCTATGGAAGGCCCTTTCTAATATTTTGCCAACTATTTGGTAAGAAGGAGAGTAGAGATTCATAATATTTGCCCGGCTTGTGGAGATTATGAGGAGGATATTATGCATATTTTATGCACTTGTATTTATGCTAGACGTGTGTGAAATGTTTCACGTCTTCTTATCCCTAATGTTGATGGTTATGATTTTATACAATGGGTAGAGGCTTTGTTGGGAAGCTCAGCAATATCTGCTGGGTTTCTAAAAGAACAAATATATGGAATACTCTACGAAATTTGGAGAGCTCGGAATATGGCTGTTTGGAATTCTCTTCTACCGACCCCCTCGCACCTATGTCACGCCTATCACGGTATTTGGTCTGCCTGGTCGTCAATCAACTCGCCGGCTACGCCACCCGTTCCGGCTGCTCCACCCGAACCGGCTACTCCCCTCGATCCGGCTGCTCCTCTTGTTCCGCCTGCTTCCTTACTGCCGCCAGTACCAGAAGTGCCAACGTCGCTGCTGCTGGGTGTAGTAAGCTGCTACGCTGATGCCGGATTCCACGGCACGTCCCCGTCATTTGGTTTTTATGTATGCAGTGCATAGGGTGGCTTTGTGGAGGCTGCTAACGGACCGCTTATATGCCCGTATGATCCCCTCCTAGCTGAATCAATGGCAATACGAGAAGCTCTATCATGGCTACAAGACCACAATTTTCACGATGTTGTGGTTTTCTCGAACTCTGCGGTCCTGGTTTCTTGCTTTCGCGATGCGAGTACCTATCGTTCGTACCTAGGTGTTATATTAGATTCATGTTTACTGTTGTTTCGTTCTTTTCACTCTTGCTCCATTAAATTTGTACGCAGAGATGCCAATTCGGTAGCTCATGCCTTAGCAAAACATAATAGTGCAGTTAGCACTCGTTCTGTCTGGAGGGACTATCTTCCTTCCTTTGTTTCGTCTACAGTTTAATGCAACCTGATTTCCTTAGCTTTCAAAAACAAAAAAATAAGCTTTAAAAGTTTCAAAATTTCGGGGTGTTACATATTCACCCCCCCCCCTCTAGACTTTCACCTTACCTCTTTTGGGACCAACAATTGGTATCAGAGCCTGTATCCTATTTGAGTCAGCTTATACCAACCTTTGGTATCAAAACACGTTGCCCAATTGGGTTAACTGTTTTTACTGCTAGTCTGATCCATTCTACAAAGTGTGTGATAGGATTAATCTTTCATATCTCTCGTGATGATGATGAAGAAAGATTTAGCTCAAAATCTATTATTCTCACTTGACAAATTTGATGATTGAAAAGTTCGTATGCAGGTACACTTATCGGCTTTACACGATGAAATGTGGGAAGTTATTTCCACTGGCCCTATAGAAATATTAAAAATCAATACGGCGTTTGTTATATCCCCGGATGCTCCACAGTACGTACAAAATCCTAAACCGGAATGGACATCGGATGATAGAACACGGAATAATCTTGACAATATTGCCAAGGATATTCTATTCAAAGCCGTGGATGATACAATATTTCCGAAGATCCGAAAGTGTGCTACTACTAAAGAAATATGCGAAACTCTCATCAAAATTGGCGAAGGAGATGAACAAGAAAAAGAAAATAAGCTCACAATCGCCATGAAGAAGTTTGAAGATTTCAAAATGCTCTCACAGACATGGAAGCTCGAATGATCAAAATTCTTGGAGAAATTAATGATCTTGGCAAAAATATTAGCCAAAAAGAAATTAATCTCAAAATCCTACGAGGCTTACCATCTGCATGGGACATGAAGGTTACGGCTATGCGCGATCACCGAGATCTAAGAATGTTGTCAACAGACTAATTATTTAGTGATCTAAAAGCATATGAGTTCGAAATGAAGGCCAAAGACGATGATGTTCATGAAGCTCGAAATTCTGCTCTAATGGCCGAACAACCGTCAACCTCCAGGTCAGTAGAAAATAATGTTGATTTTATTACTGACGAACAGTTTGCTCTTTTTGATAAAAGATTTAAAAGGTTTATGCGAAAAGGAGACAACAAAAATTCTGTTCATGGAAAATTCATCTCTCGCATAACACAAGAAGAAAAAGTCGAAGAAAACAACAATTTGTGCTACAATTGCCGCAAACCCGGACATTTTAAAATAAATTGTCCATATCCGATCGTTAGCAAGTATCAAGGCAAAAATGTTGAATCTACGCCGAACAAATCCGAAAGCAAAAGGTTCAAGCGCGACAAAAGAAAAGCTCTCGTTAGCAACGAACCAAACGAAAATGATGATTCAGAGGATTCATCATCAAGCTATGAAAGTTCATGTTCGGATGATGATACGGCGCTAATATGCAAGTCAATTGAGTTGAGTACAAGTGAAGATTGTTTTATGGCTCTTGATTATGATTATCGCGTCTCAAATGGTTACAAATCGCCTTATCTTAATTCAATAGGATCAAGGTGGGTTTGGTTACCAAAAATCACTAACAGTGAAGGACCCAAGCAAGTATGGGTACCTCAAGTTAATTAATCTTTTTTTGCAGGATGTTTGGTACATCGATAGTGGTTGCTCACGCCACATGACTAGAAATAAAATCATATCTAGTGAATTTCAAAGAAATCGATGGACCAAATGTTATATTCGAAGGAAATCAAATTTATGGAATCACAAAAGGAGTTGGCACGATCAAGAAAAATGGATTAAAGATTGAAGATGTTTCATTTGTTGAAGGCTTGAAATTCAATTTGTTGAGCACTAATCAATTTTGTGATAAAGGCTATCTTGTAGAATTTTCTAAAGATAATTGCCTAAATAAAAATGAGCTCACAAATGATGTGGTACTCTCTGGAAAAAGACGAAAGAACATGTATGTTGTTGATTGGAGTACAAGCAAAGATTCAGTGTCCTTAATGGCCAAAAATTCGAATGAAGCTAATTGGGAATGGCACAGAAAGCTCAACCACTTAAACTTCAAGACTATCAATCAGCTTGCGAAGAAGAATCTAGTTGAAGGCTTGCCAGATATTATCTTCAAGAAGGACCAAGTGTGTGATGCATGCCAACGCGGAAAGCAAATCAAATCATCATTCAAATCAAAGACACACAAGTCAACGTCAAGACCGCTAAGCTTACTACATTTGGACTTATTTGGACCGGTTGATCCAATAAGTGTAAGTGGTAAGAAATATACTCTCGTTGTTGTTGATGATTTTTCTAGGTACACTTGGACCGTGTTTCTCAATAAGAAAAATGAAGTTGAGCAAGTTCTACCGAAGCTGTTGAAGCAACTACAAAATGAGAAAGAATTGCAAATATCAAAAATACGAACGGATCGTGGAACCGAGTTCGTGAATGGAGTTATACAAGCTTTTTGCAATTCACATGGAATTTCTCATCAATTATCTGCCGCAAGAACACCGCAACAAAACGGTGTTGCCGAAAGAAGAAATCGGACGCTCAAAGAAGCCGCACGAGTGATAATTAGTGCAGTCGATCTCCCGAAACGATATTGGGCGGAAGCTATCAACACTGCTTGCTACACGCAAAATTGAAGCATGATCCATAAGCAATACAAGAAGATGCCATACGAGCTATATAAAGGGAGAAAACCAAATATTGGTTATTTTCATATTTTTGGATGCAAATGTTTTATTCATATTAATGATAAATTGCATCTAAAAGCTTTTGATGAGCGTGCAGATGAAGGAATTTTTCTAAGATATTCAGCTACCAGCAAGGCGTTCAGAGTTTTGAATAAAAGATCAATGGTGGTTGAAGAATCCATAATGGCGCTCTGGGCGAAGAATTTGAACAAAATGGTAACAAGTGTCATATTGTGATACGTTTGAAGATGATGTTTTGCAGGGATTGGATGAGTTGGAAATTAATTCTCTAGAAAATCTCATCCCTCATCCAGAAGAAGTTGGAAATTCTTTTAATAATAATTTTGGAGGTGAAGCCGCACGTGAAAATGGAGATGCAGTACGGGTTGAAGTTGGTGATCCAGTTAGTGATCAAGTTACTGGTGAAGTTGGTAATCAATTTCAAGAAGAATTAATTGAGGAAATTCGAACCAACACTGCTAGTACACAACAAATGGGATCCACTCAGTACCATGCACCCATTTGAACCAGATTTAAGATGGCTCAAAAATCACCCTCCAGAATTAATTATTGGGAATATTCATGAAGGCGTGAAAACAAGATCATCTACCATGGAAGCATTGTTCACATGTTATCTATCTCAAATTGAACCAAAAGAAGTGGACGAAACTCTTAATGATCCGGATTGGATAAATGCTATGCAAGAAGAGCTCGATCAATTCAAAAGAAATGATGTTTGGGAACTTGTTCCAAGACTGGCGAACCACAATGTTGTAGGAACCAAATGGGTCTTCCAGAACAAAGCAAACGAAGAAGGCGTGATTGTTAGGAATAAATCAAGGCTCGTTGCAAAAGGATACTCTCAAGAAGAAGGAATAGATTTTGATGAAACTTTGGCACCGGTAGCCCGACTTGAAGCAATCAGAATTTTCCTAGCCTACGCCGCACACAAAGATTTCACCATTTATCAAATGGAAGTGAAAAGCGCATTCTTGAATGGTCTACTCCAAGAAGAAGTTCATGTCGAACAACCGCCAGGTTTTGATGTAAAAGGCGAAGGTGATAAAGTCTACAAACTTAAAAAGGCATTGTATGGGTTGAAACAAGCACCTCGAGCTTGGTATGATACTTTGTCAATGTTCTTGATAAGCTGTGGATTCACCAAAGACCTTGTTGACAAAACTTTATTCACTGCCCAAGAACACAGTAAAGCCACTAGTAGATTTGCGTTTATTCGGATCGCTAGCCCAATCTAAGTCAGAATAGGCGTGAATATCCATAGATGTAGACCGAGACATACGCAGGCCAAGATTAAGGGTGCCTTTGACATACCGCAGGACTCTCTTTAGATAGGCCAAGTCTGTAGTAGTGGGAGCATGTATATGTTGACACAATAGATTAACAGCATAAGATAGATCCGGACGAGTTATCGTAAGATACTGGAGAGCACCAGCAAGACTCCTGTATAGTGTTGGATCGGCATATGGAACGGCCACGTCGTCTGTGATTTTCGCAGAAGAGACAGCCGTGATTACTGGCTTGCAGTCCACCATGCCAGCACGTTTGAGAATATCCTTCATGTACCGTTGCTGGGATAAAAGCATACCGCTAGATAACGGGACAGTTTCTATTCCCAAGAAGAAAGAAGGCACACCCATATCACGAACCTTAAATTCAAGTGCTAATTTATCAATAAGAGCAGTAACACATCTAAGTCAGAACCTGATGCGGCCCAACATAATGAAGATCCATCAAGAGTACCAATTGGGCAAATCACAAGGTCCAAGTCCAAACGATTAAGACAACTCTTCATTGGTGATATTCAAAGATGGTAGAAATCCAAGTCAAGCCCATTTGCAAAAGATGAAGAAGAATTCAAGGCTTTTTATAATTGTTTAAGTGCTGATTTTGGTGATTAAATTAGCCCCAAATCAGCCCTATTATTTTTGGTCATCATTAATTTAAATTGTTTGGCATAAAAGAGAAAACACTAGTTGTATTTAGAAAGGATTCCTTAAATCCTTTTCTAAATAAAACTCTGTTTACTTGTTTTCTAGATTAGGTTTAGGACTCTTTTTTCCATTGTATTTAGAATTATAATGCTGCCCCTATACCTATAAATAGGGCACATCCATATTAGTTTCACAGAGGCTTTAATTCAATAAAATTCTTAAGTTTTTCTTTACACTTGTGTAAGAATCCTTATGGCTAATTGTGGACTCAATTAGTGGCTAGTCGTGGACTCGACTAGCAAATTGATTCGTGGACTGGAAAAAATCTTACTTTCTTCAACCTTAGATTTAGGTTCGTGGACTCGTTCTTGAATCGAAGGAAACTAGATCCGACTCTAGTTGATTGAAGATTGCAACATCGAGGTAAAGATTTGGTTTCGAGGACGAATCCTTTTCCAGAAGGGGAGATTAATAAGAACCGGTACACATGGATTCCAATAAGGGTCTATAGTGGGCTCATCACAAGGCCCATAACAACATCCTTAAAGAATCATTGGTGGAAGAAACAAAAAAGGCCCAATAATAATTCCATTCGATAGAGGAAAGTATTATAGTGGCCCATTTCAAGTGATATAGTGGATCGAAGACAATCCTTACAAGATTCGTGGTCGAATCATTTTCAAGATAGGGAGGATGATGCGGCCCAACATAATGAAGATCCATCAAGAGTATCAATTGGGCAAATCACAAGGCCCAAGTCCAAACGATTAAGACAACTCTTCATTGGTGATAATCAAAGATGGTGAAAATCCAAGTCAAGCCCATTTGCAAAAGATGAAGAAGATTTCAAGGCTTTTTATAATTGTTTAAGTGCTGATTTTGGTGATTAAATTATCCCCAAATCAGCCCTATTATTTTTTGTCATCATTAATTTAAATTGTTTGGCATAAAAGAGAAAACACTAGTTGTATTTAGAAAGGATTCCTTAAATCCTTTTCTAAATAAAACTCTGTTTACTTGTTTTCTAGATTAGGTTTAGGACTCTTTTTTCCATTGTATTTAGAATTATAATGTTGCCCCTATACCTATAAATAGGGCACATCCATATCAGTTTCACAGAGGCTTTAATTCAATAAAATTCTTAAGTTTTTCTTTACACTTGTGTAAGAAACCTTATGGCTAATTGTGGACTCAATTAGTGGCTAGTCGTGGACTCGACTAGCAAATTGATTCGTGGACTGGAATCAATCTTACTTTCTTCAACCTTAGATTTAGGTTCGTGGACTCGTTCTTGAATCGAAGGAAACTAGATCCGACTCTAGTTGATTGAAGATTGCAACATCGAGGTACTTGAAGCTACATGGGATTCTTCCAAGTCTTTGAGGATTCGAGACAAAGGGTTTCTCGTGAGGTTTAAGGTATTTTGATCCATCTCTATCTTTGCATTGAGAGTAATCTTGGGACAATATTCCATTTTATTTGGAATATTCCATGGTTCAAATATATTACCATAGCACAAGCATTCTCTCTAATTGACCCTTTAGTACAAAATATATTTTCTCTTTGAGATTCATCTTCTTTTAAAGGGTGAACATTCAAAACCTCCTTAACAACAACAGTATGACTAGACTCACTAGCAACATATTTAGAATCAGAATCTAAAGGTATGAATGGTTCTCCCTCAACATGTTCATTGAGAGTTTCAAAATGGTCACATACCTCATCCTTAGACTTATATTCAAGACAAGAAGCAAAATTTTCAGATTGTTTTGTTATCTTAACTACCCTCTTGTTAGGGCAATCATGAGCTATGTGGCCTCTCCCATTACATCTATAACAAATCAATTCTCTATCATGTTGAGGCGTCACTGCCTCACTTGCCTTTTCCTTACCGTTGTCTCGTGAATCATCTCTTGGAGGAGGATTTTCATCACGCCTTTGAAGGGTGGAACAAGTGTTGTTCCATCTTGATGCAATATTGTAGGACTTGTGCATTTTCAATTCTTTAATTTTTGCCTCAGATTCACGTGCAGCATACAAGGCATCATAAAGGGTGTCATATCTCTGAATACTCATTCCACATCGAATTTCTAAGTTCAATCCATGTACAAAACGAGCAACAGTTTTTGTCTCTTCTTCATGTATATTTCCCTGTTTAAGCAAAATATTTATAGTTTGGTGGTACTCATCAACTGACTTTGTTCCTTCCACCATTCCCTGCAATTTTCTTTCAAGATCATACAAAAAAAATTTAGGACGAAAGGTTAGGCGCATATCTTCCCTCACTTGAACCCAAGATTCATAAGGAATAAAATTAGCAACTCTCTCTCCATTTCTTTTTCGCCACCAAGATAATGCATAACCCTTAAAAGAAATGGAGAGAGAGTTGCTAATTTTATTCCTTATGAATCTTGGGTTCAAGTGAGGGAAGATATGCGCCTAACCTTTCGTCCTAAATTTTTTTTGTATGATCTTGAAAGAAAATTGCAGGGAATGGTGGAAGGAACAAAGTCAGTTGATGAGTACCACCAAACTATAAATATTTTGCTTAAACAGGGAAATATACATGAAGAAGAGACAAAAACTGTTGCTCGTTTTGTACATGGATTGAACTTAGAAATTCGATGTGGAATGAGTATTCAGAGATATGACACCCTTTATGATGCCTTGTATGCTGCACGTGAATCTGAGGCAAAAATTAAAGAATTGAAAATGCACAAGTCCTACAATATTGCATCAAGATGGAACAACACTTGTTCCACCCTTCAAAGGCGTGATGAAAATCCTCCTCCAAGAGATGATTCACGAGACAACGGTAAGGAAAAGGCAAGTGAGGCAGTGACGCCTCAACATGATAGAGAATTGATTTGTTATAGATGTAATGGGAGAGGCCACATAGCTCATGATTGCCCTAACAAGAGGGTAGTTAAGATAACAAAACAATCTGAAAATTTTGCTTCTTGTCTTGAATATAAGTCTAAGGATGAGGTATGTGACCATTTTGAAACTCTCAATGAACATGTTGAGGGAGAACCATTCATACCTTTAGATTCTGATTCTAAATATGTTGCTAGTGAGTCTAGTCATACTGTTGTTGTTAAGGAGGTTTTGAATGTTAACCCTTTAAAAGAAGATGAGTCTCAAAGAGAAAATATATTTTGTACTAAAGGGTCAATTAGAGAGAATGCTTGTGCTATGGTAATATATTTGAACCTTGGAATATTCCAAATAAAATGGAATATTGTCCCAAGATTATTCTCAATGCAAAGATAGAGATGGATCAAAATACCTTAAACCTCACGAGAAACCCATTGTCTCGAATCCTCAAAGACTTGGAAGAATCCCATGTAGCTTCAAGTACCTCGATGTTGCAATCTTCAATCAACTAGAGTCGGATCTAGTTTCCTTCGATTCAAGAACGAGTCCACGAACCTAAATCTAAGGTTGAAGAAAGTAAGATTGATTCGAGTCCACGAATCAATTTGCTAGCCGAGTCCACGACTAGCCACTAATTGAGTCCACAATTAGTCATAAGGTTTCTTACACAAGTGTAAAGAAAAACTTAAGAATTTTATTGAATTAAAGCCTATTTCAAACTGATATGGATGTGCCCTATTTATAGGTATAGGGCAGCATTGTAATCTAAATACAATGGGAAAAAGAGTCCTAAACCTAATCTAGAAAACAAGTAAATAGAGTTTTATTTAGAAAAGGATTTAAGGAATCCTTTCTAAATACAACTAGTGTTTTCTCTTTTATGCCAAACAATTTAAATTAATGATGACCAAAAATAATAGGGCTGATTTGGGCCTAATTTAATCACCAAAATCAGCACTTAAACAATTATAAAAAGCCTTGAAATCTTCTTCATCTTTTGCAAATGGGCTTGACTTGGATTTCCACCATCTTAGAATATCACCAATAAAGAGTTGTCTTAATCGTTTGGACTTGGGCCTTGTGATTGGCCCAATTCGTACTCTTGATGGATTTTCATTATGTTGGGCCGCATCACCGAAGAAGCCCGTTGGTATCCGAACCCCGGAATGGAACGACGCCGATTACACGGTAATCGGAGGTAAAGCCCTCGAACCCGACCAATTCTCTCCGGAATTGGTCGATATGCTTAAATTTCAAGGACTCTTGGATACATATCTCTCCATCAAAGGGGATACGTACCCCGACTTAGTGAAAGAGTTCTATCACCACTTAGTGGCCACCAAACGGGGTGATAAAGTGGAAATCACCGCAAAAGTCTGGGGCAAGGAGATAGTACTCTCCGAGGGCCGCTTGGCCAAACTCCTAAAGCTGACCACCACAGGTGTGTCGGATTACGACCGAAAGGGATGGATTGGTACCCAAGGCACGGGGTATATGGACTACCTCGGGTACCTACTAGGAAAGGAAGAAGGCTTCACCTCGGCCACCCGGCCAAACAGGAAATGGCTAACGGCCGAACGAAAGATACTAGTCATGATTGTGTCTGATAGCTTCTTGCCCACGAACAACAAAAGCAAGGTTGTGGGAAGTTTGGAGTGTACTTTTGCCTACTTCCTAAACCCACCGGCCCTCATGTTGAAGCACATGGGGTTTTGCAAGACTAGCAACCGGCTTAGTCTACCTTACGGGATGATCCTCAATTGGATCATGGAGAAAAAGGGAGTGGACCTAACCACACAGAGATCAAACCCGTAAGCGGCATGGTTTTC